TTGATTTATGAGACGTAGGAAACCATCACACGTATTCTCAACAACTATGCCACGACTAAATTACACAAGTGTTTACTCCATCTCCGACCAGTGTTCTCGACACAAATACAGCTGTTTTTTGAACAAGAGACTGAACTGAATCTGTAGCAATACCTCTTATTTGTTGATGCGTGCGTGCGCACACACACACACACCCAGTGCAAAACCTCTCATACATCAAGTAAAAAAGCTGTCAATGGCAGATTTTCCAGTGCATTTTGGTACATATCGGTGCAAATAAGTAATAATGAAGTGAGCATGGACCAAAAGAATACACTCACCTTAGGAAACTGTGTCTCATAGCAATACAGCGGATTATTAGAGGCTATCAATATTTTAGAGTTTTCTAAAGAGAGTTTTCCTTCAAGGTAATGGACTTCTAGTTTGGATACCCACTGATGTGTAGAGAATGTATCCTAAGCGCTGGGGTTTCAGGGAAGTGGACAAAATCAAGCAGCATTTCTGCAGACCTTACTCACTGCTGAATGGACTCTGACATTAAGCTTTGCACATCACAAGACACCACATCTGCGTAACTTCGCCAGTCACACACACACACACACACACACACACACACACACACAGAAGCATGATTATAAACAATACCCAAAAGAAAGGCACTTAAACGCACACTTTGTCCATCTCACAATATATTTAAAACAGAGAAGGCATGCCTTTTTTAAGACATTGAAACTTTTGATTTGTATTACTATTATGTAATTTGTTGTGTTATTATTAAAGCTGCAGTCTGTAACTTTTTTTGGTTAAAAATTATCCGAAATTAACATTTGAGCAAGTACATAACCAGCCAGTGTTCAAAACTATCGCCTTACTTTAGCCCGATTCACATCGATTATCTTATAATAATGTTTTCTAATTTGAGTGGTACGGGTAGGTTTTCGCGGGAAATTCGAGCATGCCACTGCGTCATTACGTCACGTCTGTAAACATAAAGAAGTTGTCCCGGCTACTAAGCTATCGCATGTGAGGATCCTGCAGGTGGC